TGCTGGCTGTAGCAGCGCTATAGCGCTGCTATAGCGCTGCACAGCAAAAACGCATAAAAATAGAAAAGAAACGGGGGGGAGGGACCAATCGGACGAAGAATAAATAAGCACAACAATAATTTTCTAGATTTAAATATGGGCAGCCCTCCCCCTCCTCCGGCGGTATTCGGCAGGTCCGGAAACCAGGTCTCTTCAGTAGTAAACTGAATACGGTCAATTCCGTTGGACTTTCGCGACTGTCTCGGTCTGCGCCCCTCCCTTCCTCTTTTTTCTGTGGTTTTTTTTGCCCCGCCATTGTAGCATTTTCCCTGGACTGGTCTCTGGTCAGCGGTGAGATCATGGCCATCGGTGCTGTGTTCGCACTAGCACTTTCGGGCTTTGTTGTGTACATAGCGCTTCTTCCCTTCGCTCAGATCAATGGGGCTGTGTGCGTCATTAAGGCAATCCTAACGGCTTACTCTGCAGCTTGGCCAGGCCGCAAAGCAAGGCCCAGTTGGTCGAGTCTGGCCGCTCCTTGCTCCTCCATATTTTATTGCGTGGCAGCCCCCGTATTTTAGTTTTTATCAGAATCGTCTACTGTATTCAGCGGAATCACCGGTGTTTCTTTAAGCGTTTCCTTAAGGGATGTAAAAGTTTGCAACAGCATGCTTTCCTTAGTAGTGAGGCGAAAGCACTGGTGCTATGAGAGCGGCACGCCGGCAAATTGCCCCCTCCCCCATCCCCCTGGCCCCTCATTGCCCATTATTTTCTCTCGCCTTCAGGAGCATCTCTCCCCACTTAGGCTAAGCAGCTGGCTGCTGCTGCCCAGCCTCTCTCCATCTTAAGGGATGCACAAGACACGCGCTACCACCTGCCCACTAGCACAGCCTTAGCTAGTCAGCTTTGCGGGAAATCGAAGCGCAATCGATGCAGCAGCCCCAGCATCGAGACATTTCGGGTCGGCGGCAGCAGCAGCCGGGCTTATCCACGCTGTGACAGCCGCTGCAGACAGCCAGAGAGAGAGGGGGCGATGTCCCTCTTCCGGTGCTCTGTTGCTGTTTCTATATGTGTGTGTGTGTGTGTGTGTGTGGGGCGTGGCAGGTGTGTGCTCTCTGTCTGTGTGTGTGTGTTTGTGGATGCTCGTGCGTGCCAGCCTTCTCACGTTCCGCATGTTCATCGCTTGGGTTGCGTTGGTCTGTGGCTGCCGCGGGGTCGTCCCCCGCGATTTCCCGGTGAATTCGGTGGCCGGTGAGCAGCTGTTCCGCTGATTGCAGCAGTATTGGTTGTGTAGGAGGTCGTTCGTTCGTTCATCCGGGAGTTATCTCGAGGGAGAGAATGGTGGAACTGTGTGAGCTGAAACTGATTGATGGCGGCAACCTGCTGGACTCGTCGCATTGGCCGGCCGACATGGACCAGCACATCGCGCAGCTCGATTTCCAGCGCTCATCGGACGAGGAGGAGGACGCGAGCCTGTTCGCGAGCGTGGCCCTCGGGCCTTCCGCGGTCATCTCCACCGATAGCCTGGACATGGAGAAGCTGCATGCCCGCTGTGAGGTTAGTTGTTTCTTTTTTTTTTTTCATGTTATCCCGTCTCTGTCTCTCACTACTGACCACCAGATGCCCATCCCTCGGCTTGGGTCTGTCCTTTCTACAGCTCTGTACTTAAGTTTACTTTTGCTTCACCAAATTTAATCTTTCTCGGCCATAAAAGTAGCCACAGTGTGAGTTACTCTTGTAGCTCGTGCTTTTTGCTGCGCAGTTTTCCACTTTGTCTGTCTGCTCACTCTCATTTTCTCCATTTGGTCAGTTGTGCTGTTGTTTCACGCATATTGCTTTGATAACATTTTCTTTGCCACATCGAAACTGCGATTCTATTTTTGGGGTACGCGTTGCAACTTCCTGACACCTGCCATGTGTTCATTCCCTGACGCTCTGAGTGACCGCTAACTTCTTGGGGAACGTGGCGTATAGTCTTTTGTATTTGTGCCATTTAAGGGTAAGCAAAATTGCGACTAGAAAAAGTAAAAGGGGGTGATGAAGTAAATAAAAAGAATGAGCAAGTGAAAATATAAATGGAAATTCATCCGTAGTACGAGGAAGTTTAGAAGGGAAGCATGCTGTTTGATGTGGGCGTCTGCGAGCTCGCTGATAGCTCTTCATATTGCTCTTCTCGTTCTGCTCCATTTTATACTCATCCGATTTTTTCCAGGCTTCGTTTGGAGGATGTTTAGTGCTTATGTTTAGCCGTGGACGGAAAAATTAGAGAGGGGCTTCTGCTAGATTTCCTGATTTTCCCGCACAATTACGAAGGATCAGCCCGGTTTTTGGGTCCTTTCCGCCTCTCTTTTCTACTCCGCTCAAACCCTGTAATTCAAGTTCTATTGACGCCCCAGATTAAGTGGAACTTATTTGTTGCCGGTGATTCCCAGCCGTTTTTGGCTCACCGGCACCTCAATCCAGCTTTTTCACAGAACTTATGGCTCCGTTGTTCGAGGAGGCAGTGGACACATCCCAGTCACTTATTTGTCGGATTAGATCGGCTATGATTGATGATTATGTCACCTAATAATGCGGTGCACGGCTTACGTACAGTATGCACCTGCGCTGCTCCATTGCGTCTCTTTCTGTCCCGTGCAGCCTTAGATTAGTTCTCTCTGCCACAGTATAATTTTTATGCGTTTTTTGCAGCAATGCAATGCGAAAAACGCATATTGACGAGGGGTTGTCTGTCTGTTCGTGTGTCTGTGCGTCTGTGTGTGTCTGTGTGTGCGTCTGTCACGCACTTTCATCTCAAGACTTATAAAAGCTGCAAGGCTGTAATTTCGGCAACTTAATCTACATGCATTTGCCGGTCTCATTCTCCAAAATGGGCGCCATCACTCGCGTGGTACCCGCGTAGGTTTTTCCGGGTAAGTTCATAACTCGGGGATCTGAGAAGCTAGAACGCTGAAATCTTGGAGTGTTGTTCCCTGTCCAAGTGGGTATTAACGAGTTCAAATCCTGCCCGCAGGTAAGCGTGCTACCTAGGTGCGGGCCCGTGAAAACTTCTTCCGAGTAAGTGCTAACTGAAGAACGTGAGATGCTAGAAGACTGAAATTTTAAGGAGATGTTTTCTGACAGTTCTAGCGGCCAGTCTGAAATTCTTTTAGCTAGAAGCATCTGCCGGAAAAACCAGTGCCGTTAGGAACAAAAATCTGCGGGAGCTATGCAGAAAACGCATGTTCGCACGGACAGCCCGTGCGTTGGCCAATTATTTTTTCGAAGCAATGGCCTACTTTTATTTCGGACAAATATTAGTGTTTTTTATAAATTCGTAAAATTGAGTCATTTTTTATGGGGTATTAGTTTTGCTTCCACAGATACAGCAGTGAAAATGAAATGCTTCTTGAAACTGTGACGACAGTTTGCTCTTTCAATTAGCAAATTCGAGGATTGGCGCAGACAAGAATTTTAGGAATGTGACACGCTTCTTATGAAATATTTGACAGGTAATTGGACGGGTGCAGTGATTCCTAAATAGGAGAGGAGAGGGGGGAATTAATTTGGTGTGATGTAGCGAAAATGCGTGAATTCAGGGAATGTGCTCGGAATCGCCCTGTTATCTTTAATCAGTGGCTTTAAGTGATATGATGAGTAGCTTCAAAGTGCTGTCTGTTAACCACTACACCACAGAACCAGTTGGCAGGCATGATGCAGCGAGGTAAGACTGTTGCTGTGCAGTAGGTTGAAGGTCCGGCTATGCCTCTGGAACAGCTAATCCCTCTACGATTCGTTTCGCTGATAAATTGGCACTTGCATGTGCCAGGAAGTCAAACCAGCCATCGTCTTGCTTGTAAGCAATCCGCAGAAGAGGAGGCCATCAATAGTCTTGCTGGCGAATGCTTGCTCTTGGCATTTTCTACCACTCGTGCTACTTTCCCAAGTACCTCTGCCTCTCACTGAAAGTGAAATGCGAAGGGAGTTTTGACTGTTGACTTTGACTTTTGATGAGCAGCTTCAGTAGTTTTGAAGTATCGCTCAAAGCAGTGCGTTTCTTTTACCAGGCAAATTGTTATTTGGTGTGTTCTAGTTTTTCAAGGCTAACTGAGTTTATTGCAAAAGATATTCCTTGTTTGTTGGTGAAGAATGCCTACTAGTAGTTTCTGCTCAATAGGTCCACGTAATGAGCATTCATGTTGTGTTTTCGAGGTGATCCGCACGTTTGCGATAAAAGGGCGTGAGCATTGTTCCTGAAAAATTATTCTGAGTAAATTTACTGATTACCATTGCTGGTCTTGTTGAAGAAAAAAGAGCATATACGAACATTGTGCGATTTTTGAAGGATTTCGGAAGAGAGATGACTCATACAGAAGGAATAAGCGCTATTGCAGTTACGGAGCTCAAAATTTAAGCGCTTGGCATGGCTGCGTCCGGCCTCTAAGAGCGTCCCAGCGGCCTTACTAATATCAGATCCCCATCAAGTAGTCCTAGCTCTTTTCTGAAGAAAGCATGTTTTTGGGCGATGAATAATACATCGTGTAGCTGTGTATGATCTACGGCAGTGCAGAATTTATCGGGCAGCCCATTGAATTTGCTGAGAAGCTTGATGATTTATTGCATTTTGTCGAAGCACTGTTGTCCGCACGCATGTGTTACATTTGTGTTGGCAGCGCCTCTTCCCGGGAGCTGAGCGTTTCGGCTGATAAGAGATGCTGATTGGAGGGGCTGAAACTAATCTTGAAAATAGATGAATGAACGATGAGCATTAGGCTCAGCGGGGGATCAGTTATTGCGCTGTGGGATGAGAAGATTCATCGAAACATGTTCTTGTAGTCGTACATCCTCTTCCACCTGCCAGTTCTGCTTCTCCTGTTTCCCTCACCAGGTTAAACGGGGTAGAAATTGGCCCAAAAGTGCTAATTATTTTCTGCGTTCTGAAATTTGTGTTTTTTTGTGTGAATTTTGGGGTAAAGCTTTCCATGTCTCTTTAATCAAGTCTCTTGTTTGATCCACTAGATTCAGTCTTTGGGCGCAAGGTCATTAACTTTAGCAGTAAAGCATTAGCTGAATGATTTCAAAAGAATGACTGAGAATTTTGCCCATTGGCATCTCTCGTTGAATTTTCCCAACGAGGGATTCAGCTTCTCACGTTCTCTTTATAATGAATAAGTGCTGAATTTCTGCTTCAGCTTCACTCACCCCATGGCACCTTGTAAAGCCTAAGATACATTGTTCAAAACAGAGAAAACAATTTAAAAATAGCAGTAATATAGCCGACACTGGCTGAGTTTGGCGTGGTACGATTATGATTTGGTTTGAAGCCTCAGTACAGCACTCATCGTTTGCTGCCTTCGCAGGCAGCTGCATCTGCCTGAGGTTGTTTTAGTAGATGCCAGTTCTGACTTTGGTTTTTGCTAGCTAGATATTTCAAGAGAATTTGAATTAATTAAAATTGTATAATTATAGTGGAAATTGCTCATTATTATTCATGTACATGGGAGAAGCCCAAGTAGCAGCGAAATATACTTGAGGATGATATGTAGTGTTGCCAGCAGAACTATTTGATCTTACGGTGGTGACTTTATTGGGTGCTGCGCAGGAATTTATACCTACCAGTAACACCACACCGATAGCCCGAATATCAGTTACTAAAATTTTTTTGCCGTCCTGCCACGTAATTCCTCTTTACAGAGCTCCGAGGTCTTGGAAATGAAAATGTCTGAAGATGCGAGTCTTTAGAGATTTTTTGCTTGTGAGATGAATATTTGAGTCTTTGCTGCTCATTATATACTTAGTCACTACTTCTTGTAGTCTTGGTACTTTGATCAGCTGTTGTTTCATCACGTTCCTCCTCGCTGTTGTTGCGGCATGCAACTTCTGGAATTCCTGAAAAGCCCATCAGAAATTAGTCATCTAATGTAGGTAATTACAGAGAGCAAAGCGGGAATGGGGTTATTAAATTCTTATTATATGGAACCTGTGATACTTTTGTGCAGTTATTCCAGTGTTCCTAGTAGTAGATGAAGCATCTCATTGGTTTTTTGTGAAAATTTTTGGGCGAACAATTGCTCTCCGAAGTAATGTCCGCTCAGGTTCATCGTAAAGTTATACGATTTTTTGCAGTTTTGAAAGAAAAATAAAAGAAAGAATTGGCGAAAAAAGTGTTGACCTTGTTTTTTTCGCCGGTAATTTATTGTTATCGTTGTTGGAGAAGAGCTTTCGAAGCCAGGCTGTGCTATTTTCCGTTTCGCATTAGTAACGTTGCTCGTATCCATAAATCTTTCCAATTTTTGCTTTCGCTCAAGTTGAACTTTTGCAAATTCTTTAGCTAATTTAAGATGTGCTTGTAAATTCGCAACGCTCAAAAGGTAGCAGTTGAGTGCCTCGCGACCTGAGACATATAATCACCTCAAGCTCGAGCAGCGCAGGTGAGAGAAGCGCTATCTCCTGTTTTACAACGCCCTGCTTTTCCTACCGATACCCCTTACATTTTACACTTCCTTTTTTAGTTACACTACTTTTCGCTTTCTTTGAACTCAAAAATTGTGTTGGAACGAAGGCAGGACAACATGCTGTGGCTTTTCCCTGTAGCGTTGGAATAGAAAAAACAACAAATGGAGCCAAGTGGAAATTAGACTCCTTCCGAGCCCCGTGAGTCTTACGGATTTCGCACACATCTTGGACTTATACTGTTAAATATCAGCTCAAGCAGCTTGTTTTGTGAGGCTTGCTGAAAATCGAATTAGTCTAAGCTGCCATGCTTCGATTTATTCACCATTTTTGGAGCCGAAAAATAATACTGTATTGGCTATGCAGCCCCCATCTCGATGCACTTAGCATTTTCACATGTTGTGCAGTGTACTAGTTCTACTGTAAATGGCTGTGTGCAGGAAGTAGACAGTGAGAGCTAATTGATTTGAAAAATTAAAGCTGTATTTGGGGTGAGACTTTTTGTTGGGTTTTACTGCTCAGGTACGCGGCCCAATTAAGTAATTTGTGAATAAGCGGAACAGTGGTCTGTTTCGTTGTGTAGCATGTTTGGCAGGTGAGGACTTATCTCAGGATGACCAAATTAATTAGGCTATCATAAAAGTGTAGGCATGCTTTGTAGTGTATGCCCTGAAGCATGCTTGGTTTTTGATCTTTTCGAAGTACCACGGTGTTCGATGGACCTTACGACAGGTACAACAGCACGTCTATCACATGATCTATACTGGCTCGCCCTCCGTACATGTGATTTCGTTGTTACTTAATTATTCAGTTTGTTCACAAGTTCCTTTTGGC